GTGGAACAAGGAGCTCAAATTGATCAAACAAGCCAAGGAAGAGTATGCCAGGACTCATGCTGTTGCTGAGAAACCCCAAGCATCGGCCGGCTCCATCAACTGGGAAGACCCCAACTTGGACATTGGAAAAGCATTGGAATCTTTGGTGCAGAAATTGGATTAGAGGCGTATTTATAGTGTTTGCAGCCACGGAGGTAAGAAATGGAACTGCAGCGGGCCGCACGAGCTGGAGAATATACATGCGGGAGAAGCGCATATCTAAGTACTGAATAAATGTACGTTTGGATTAAAGTAGGTTGTATGGGAGCTGAAATGGCAGCCACAAATGCACGCGCGCAAGTGTAGCTGCAGCGTCAAAAACGGCATTGGCTGCCATTTTTTTGCGTTGGTTTCTATTCTCTCGGCTATTTAAGAGCGCTTGGTTTTCTGCTCCTCGACTTCTCATTTTTTCCCCATTTTTCATCCCACAAACTCACTTTTCATCCAATATCATCATTTATTCTTTACTATCTCCTGCATATTGTCATATCAAATCCTGCACTTGGTATCTCATATGCTACGTCTATTTTGCAGTCTGAACTGGAGAGAATTGAAACGACTCAAGAATGTCCCAATCACAGGATTCATCGGACACGGGTCTCACAGCCGAAAACAGCAAGACCGACAAAGATTCTGAGCCGCCGCAATCGTCCCAAAGTGTCGAATTATCGAATCAAAAACCGAAAAGAACATCATCCGCAACGCTTCAGTGCCCCATATGTAACGAGGCAATGATAAGCATCCATCAACTCAACCGCCATATCGATGACACCCATGTAGAATCTGCTGACACTCAAAAGGGCAGGGAAGATCCATCGTCTAAACTCACCACAAACGAAATTGTTGGCAACGATATCAAGTCGTGGATCAAGAAGAAATTACCGGCAGAACCAACTTCGCTATTTTCGCCCGGAAAGAGGAAAACCATAAACCTTGACCTTTTGGACGGTAATCGTGGTTTTGGCCTCAGTGATAGTCTCAATGATGCCTCGAAGAGCCCAAGATCAAAGGAGCAACTGCCCATGGAACTACTGCCTCTCAAATCGGTTTCTCCCAGAAACTCTAGAACCAATGAAATCACCAGAAGCCACTGGAGACAACCCTCCATTAATGGAGCACTTTCGTGCTCGCACCCCAGCTGTAAACGAACGTTAAACATCAAGAATGGCATAGTCAATTGCAGAAAATGTGGAAACTTGTTCTGTAACGAACACACGCACTGCAAAGTACGATTACGAAATCCTGAACCAGGAGAAGGAAAGCTACCTTTGTACGATTGTACCGCAAATGGAGTTTGGTGTCGTAGTTGTGAAACGTGCTACCTAAATAAGCCCGATTTCGTGGCTGGAGTCGAGGTTACCGTTAACGACGTGACAGTGCAATTTCAGCAGAAAAGAAGTGAGTTTATTGACACCAAGACTCTTCGCCGCATCAAAATCCAGAAACGTTTCATCAAAAATGCCAATCTCATCACTGAACGCTTCGTTGCCAATTCCAGGGCATCTTTCTGGAATGGCTTTTCCCTTTCTGCTTTCAATTCTAAGAACGACCCTTTGATTGCACAACAAAAACAGCTCGTAGGAAGCGATAACTGGCAGGACGACTCCATAACTCATTGTGCGATTTGTTTTACCAACTTCAACTTTTTAATCAGAAAGCACCACTGTCGCCTTTGCGGAAGGTTGGTGTGCAACGACCCAGATGGGGAGCGAATGTATTGCTCAATTTTGTTACCCATTACCAGTTTTATTGAGAAATTGCCGACCCTTAACTATGCAAACCTTGTCAAGCAAAACTTACCCAAAATGCTTGAAGTTCCACCCGAATCTCAAGATCGGATCTCTTTACGTTGCTGTGTGGATTGTAAAAATGATCTTCTTCATTCGTGGAAAGTGAGCGACGAGCTCCGTCAAGAGAGTGATCGAGAAATATTCACCATCTACAACGGAATTCTAGTTCTCAAGAATACAATTTCTACGTTGCTACCTCGCTATAGAAAGCTTGTGGAAGAAATCAGTCAATCCGATGCTGATGCCGATCGTCTGGACTTGAATAAAGCTCGTCTTCGTCTAATGTCAGCTCTTAAAGATTTTGAAGGCGCATCAACAAGATTCAGGACCCAATTTCTAAAACTACAAGATGGAAAATTGTGCATCAAGAATGAATACAGCAACCACAAACAGCTAGTGCTCAACATGTACCAATCCACCATCATGTTTTTGCAAGATAACCTCGAGACCTTTAAAAGTCTCAACGCCAAAATCCAAGAGAACGAGAAAAAGACCATAGAAAAAATGGAAGCTGGAGTTCAGCAAACTGAACGCCCCCGTCTTACTAAGAGAGAAGTACGCGAGAAGCGTGAAAAGCTAATGGTCATGAAGGAGCAGGCATTCATCGTCGAGAATTTGATAGATAGTGCTACGAAGCAAAGAAAGTTTGACGAGATTGACCTGTTGCTTGGCAACAAGAACGAACTAGCCAAGGAAATCGCGGTCTTGGAAGAAGAGTTGGGGGACGAAGGGTTCTAAAAGTCCCCCACGAAATCAACGTGGGGGCACGGGACGGGAGTGGGGGATAGAAATCAAGAAAATTGGGACAATTTGAGTGAGAATTGTTGCACACACGCGCATTTTGTGAAGGGTGTTCCAATTTTTTGCACCATTTCCTGGTACTAGCGACGGTTTCGTCGTCCCCCCACGCCAATGCTGTTTTCCCCCACGTCTGTGCCCCCCACTTTCGATGTCAACCCCGCGATGCGCACCAAAAAAAAGTATGGGGCTGACGCATAGATCCTTTTATCACTGGGGTTAATTACGAAATCATGCGTATATCTTTGCAGTGGATACTAAGGTTGAGTTTATAAATTAGCCTGTTCCCCTGTTTGATTTTTTATCATCATTAACCATGACTTCGCTGGTCGGAGACGAACAAAGCTCATCGACAAAATCTCTTTCCAAAGGGTACACTGAATCATTAATGTCTATTGAAGGTTCCAAAAATGCACCTGTGTTGAAGCAGGTCAAAGATTTGTTGACAATGAAAAAGTTGTTTGAAAAAAGCGAAGACCGTCCAACTCCTGCTGCTGTCTACAATTTGAGAATATACGGAACCGCTTTGATAGCGTCAGCCGCCGCCATCATCATTGGATACGACGGGGGTTTCATTGGTGGTACTGTGGCATTACCTTCGTTCAAGCTGGAGTTTGGACTCGACAAGATGGATGTGAGCCACGCAAATAGCATAATTTCCAACGTGATCTCTGTTTTCCACGCTGGATGCTTCTTTGGTGCTCTCTTTTCGTATCCATTTTCTTACTATTTGGGTAGAAGAGTGTCTCTTATTATAGCAGCCAGTCTCATTACGGTTGGCTCGGCCATAATGTTGGCAGCATCCTCCAAAAATGGACTTGGTCCCATCTACGCTGGCAGAGTGTTGGCTGGTATTGCCGTGGGATTCTCTACGAATTTGACGCCGGTCTATTTGAGTGAGATATCACCCCCAGCAATCAGAGGACGTATAATTGCTCTCTACGAAATTGGCTGGCGTGTTGGTGACTTGGTGGGATTCTGGATTAATTATGGAATTGATTCTCATATCGGCCCTTCCAAAAAGCAATGGCTCATTCCATTTGCAGTTCAAATGATCCCCTCGGGAATGTTCCTTCTCGGAAGTGTGGTCATGAGAGAATCTCCACGTTGGTTAATCAGTGTGGGAAAGTACGACAAGGCAATCGAGAATTTAACTTGGTTCAGAAATTTGCCAGAAGATGACGAATATGTCGTTTACGAAGTTAATCAGGTTAAAGAGTCGCTTGATTACCAACGAGCACATGTCGGACTTGGCATATGGGATCCTTTCAGACAAGTGTTCTTCAAAGACCGCAAGATTCTCTTCCGTTTGTGCATCACATGTTCCCTTTTCTTGTTCCAAAATTTCTTGGGTATCCAATCCATCAACTACTACTCGCCTATTATTTTTCAGAATTTAGGAGTCAAGGGCACGAACGCTAGTTTGTTTTCGACTGGTATGTTTGGAGTGGTTAAGTTCATTTGTACATTCATCTACATTTTGTTCATCGTTGATACCTTTGGAAGAAGAAAAGCATTCATGTGTTCATCTACCGTTTGCTCCATTTGTTTCTGGTACATTGGTTCATATTTGAAGGTCAATGATCCAACAAAACCAGGCGTGGATGCTGGGCCAGGTGGTACCGCAGCCATTGTCATGATGTATATCTGGATTGCGTCGTTCATTCTAGCATGGTCTGGAGGACCTTTTGTCGTGGGTAGCGAGGTATTTGATCAAAACATTCGTTCATTTGTCCAAGCAATCAACGCTGCCATTTCGTGGGTTCCAATCTTCATCATGTCTCGGTTCACCACGAAAATGATCGAGAAAATGCATTACGGAATATACTTTTTCTTTGCCAGCTTGGCCATATTGTCAGTGCCATTCGTGTTCTTTTTTGTTCCTGAAACAAAAGGAATTGCTTTGGAGGATATGGACAAGTTATTTGATAGAAGACTTCCTGCTCACAGAGCTCACAAGATTGTTCTTGGAAGAATTCGGGCAGAGGCAGAAAATCAACGTCGTGAGCACAAGGGCCTTTACAAGTTGGACACGAATAAAAGCAATCAGGTGGAGAACATCGAAGATGCAAACGATCTATTTGTTAAGGATGCATAGTATGAGAAACGTAATAAACTGTACAATAAGATATGAAAGTAGTTTTTCAGTTACTCAGTACTACTAGACTAGTGCGGAGAGCCAGTCACACGGGTCTTATGTCCAACTTTCGCTTATTTATGCGACATAAGCAATATCCCAAGTTCTGTGAATACCCTCACATAGACTCAAGTTCAACTTGATGATAGCACGTGACTCCTATCGAGTCTGAACCGTGTCTGAACCGTGTCTGAATCGAGTCTGAATAGGGTCTGAACTGGTTCTCACTATAATTAGGCAACTTGTCCGAGTGGTTTAAGGAGAAAGACTTGAAATCTTTTGGGCTATGCCCGCGCAGGTTCGAGTCCTGCAGTTGTCGTTTTTTTGAAATTTGGACACTATGCAGGAAATTTGCAGCTAAATTTTAACTAATTGCTAACTGAACCGCTTCGTGCGACATTCCCAAGCCACAGAGATATCCTTCTCCTCCAGCTCCATAGTTGTGAACTATAATTTGACCTCCATTTCTGGTTTCAGTTTCAATTCTTGCTCCACATTGTCTTGTGGGTCTTATACCAGCAACCACTCTTATCACTGGAAGGCTCTCTAAAGTAGTACCGAGGGGGTTTTCTGTTAACAATTTGGGAAAAAGGCGAGTTGTCCGCTCAAGGATGTTCTTTGACTCGTCGCCGTATGTATTTGGATCGGAATTTCCACCCTGGTAAAAGCCACCCAAGACTACCTCGTGCAAAGCTGAATCTGGGCGTTTTATTATGTATGTTGAAGTGTCTGTCCATAACAGAACACACTCATTGATGTGGGGAGCACTCACCACCACAACTTGGCCTCTTGTAGGATAACATTTTTTGTCTGAAACTCCCTCTAAGGTCGCAGCACCATTGCCTGTGCAATTGAACACAGCCTTAGTTTCGGCATCAAATGCTTCGTCTATGCTCTTCAATTTCTTACGGTGAGCCTGGACACCCAAACCCTTGAGGTAATTGAAGAGATTTTGAATAAGTAGTGGGGCATTGAATACCCAAGCCTTGTAACTTACCCTCATGATTGCTCCAGGAACTTCCGATTTGGCTACTGTGAAGTCCTTCAAAAAGGCTGATAACTTTGCAATATACTCCTTATCGAGCTCCTCGGCAACATGTTCCGAAGAAGGAACCATCCCAAGCCCACAGCCAGTGCCCAATGCTTTCAAAAGTTTAGGAAGATTTTCATAAGTGTAGCTACTGTATTTCAAATTTGACTCTTCAATACAAGCAGAAAAGTACGCTCCAGCGTACGGCGAAGTATAATTTATAGAAAGGTCTCCTGGAAAATACTCAGCAATAATGGTGATACTTTTGGCGTCCACACCACTCTGTATGAGCTCAAAGGTGGTGTATAGACCAATGATCCCTGCCCTGCGTTAGTTTTGTAACTTTAAAAGAATAAAAAAATCCTACCCTACGACTGTATAGCTCATTGTTGTATGTGCATTTCCGTATCCTTATCAACTATTCCTGTGGTGTATGGGCGTGTCAAAATGCAAGATCATGCAGCCTCGACAGGCACTGACATGAACTGACAGGCACCTATGGTTTGGCGTAAGAGCACATCTATATTAACCCACTGAGTGTCAAGCGCTCGAGAAATGGCGACAAGTCGTCGCGCCGGATTTCGATCACGGATGAGTCAAAGCTATCGATTCTGACTTTTGCACCCAGCGTCAGGGCCACTTGCTGAAATGCAACACTAAAGGTATTGAGGCGAGTTGTTACGGTGGCATCGCCGTTTTTATGGAGCATCTTTGCTGCGTCTGAGTTGCTCATTCCGCGAGGATACTTTGGAGCCAAACCAATCACCAAGTATGTGTCACTTGGGACATCCAAACTTGCAACCACCAAAGGTTTGAGAGTGGTGCTATTGTTCGCAAATTCTAGCTCGGTTATGTTCTCCAAGAGCCATGTTCCGAGCTTGGAGAGAATGAGAGGGTTGCTGAACACCAGTAGGTCGGGAATGGCACCGTCGTTCAAAACGCAGAGTCTGTACAATCGGAGATTCTTGACTAGACGTCGTTCGAGAAGTGACATTCCTGCTCTGAATATGAGTTGCTGGATCCTCTTGGCGTGGTCAAGACCTTCGAGAAGTAAATCAAAGCCCTTATTTCCCTTGGTGGTCGATTTGTTCTGGGTTCCATATGTGCTGAGTGCATCCCACGACATCCAGAAATTGCTCACCCATATTCTTTCCTTGTCCTCGATTCGCTGGTGAATTAGTCTATCGTCGTCCGGATGGTCTCCGTTCAGCACCTGAGCTCGGTCACATTCCAAGAGTGCTGTGAGTGCCTCAACACACTCCATGGCCAGAAGCTGGCCTCTGTATCCATATGTGCGTACAAAGCCGTCTCGAACGATTCCCTCGAGCCCGTAGAGGGGGAGGTACTTGTTGAAGATGTAGGGAAGTTGCTTTTTCACGGTAACGTCCATGTAAAGCCACTTTTGTTGAGCAGTGGCCAAAGAAACACCCATCTTTGCGAAAAGCTTGTGGAGCCGTTTTCGTCCTTCCTCCGTCCATAAATTGAGTTTCGAGTTGACATGGCTCAGGTAGAAAAAGGCGTCATAGAGTGTCCAATGACGGAGAAGAAAAAGATGGTAGTCTTTCTCCACGGAAAGAGAAGTGGTATCGGCTGTTTTTTCGCTTGTGGATGAGGGGTTTAACCGGTATACCTCTTCGTTGAATAACGGCTGGATCTTGTCGTAGACATCTGGATAATAACTGTCGAGAGACGATGTGCCCACTATGGCCAACCACAAGTTTTCTATGGTAGTTTCACCGATAGAAGAGATTAAAGCATACATGGTAGCAGTAGTGGAGGTGGCCACGGTGGTTCCTTGGTTGTAGTAAGACAGGATGAGATTTTCAGCGGAATTCGATGCCGATTTCCTCAGTTTTTTCTTTGAAATGCTTAATACATCTTCATCTGTATCGACGTCCTCGCCAGTAGCCTCATCGTCACTTTTTTCAACTTCATCTTCTTCATTTTCATCCTCCTCTTCATCCTCATGTTCCACCAAGTACTGATACGCCTCTCGTTCTTGTTGTAAGTTGCTGTCGATGTACCCATCGTCGAAACACACCACCATACTCAGCCCAAACACATTATCGAGGTTCCAGGGCCGATGACCATCCATTATATACACCTTTCTCAACATGTCTGGCTGCAATTCCACCTCGAAAAAAGACTCAATATCCAACATGGCTCCACATCCTAGCAATATCACGTTGTTCACTTCTGTGTCGAGCGCCAAGTAGCGTCGTTTCAAGTCTGCATACCCCACAACGGGCACCAACTGGTACAGAATGAGTTCTTTTCGTAATACTCCACAAAGAATTTTTGCCGAAGTTAATGCATCTATATTTAAGCACAGAACAAATAGAATGAGTTTTGTAGTCGAGTGCGATAGCGACGTTCGTTTCAACTCACGAAACTCGCGAGCATAGTCACTGGGCAAGATGTGCATAAAGAAGAGGATGTAGGTGTTGAACTTTAGTGCATCGCCTGCATACGGAGACGCGTACTGAATCTGAAATGAGTGCGAATGAATTCAGTGCACATCTCGCTCATCTACATTACTTTTTTTTGGTTTTATTAAACGTAAGAGAAGCTTCCGAAATTTCGGCGCGCCACCTGGTTGATATCCCACGTAAGAATACCGCCTCGTTCGCACCCAATAAGTAATTTGTTGCCGTACCACGCAAGTCCTGCCAACTCCATTTCTCCATCAATGTGGTTATATGACTGCTGGTACGAATCATGATGTAGTTCAATGGCAGCGTTCGACGCCCGCAGAGTCGGTATTTCGTGGTGTAAAGATACCATTGGTGTAGATGCGTGGGTCAATGGTTCGGCATTTTCGTCAATTCTACACTCTTGTGCTTGGTCTCCACGGTTCTGCCCCCATTGAGGAATATTGAAATTGGGGGCTCCACCTTCTGCTCTGCTGATGGCCGTGGGTGGTGGGGGTGTGTAGGCATAGTTTTTGAACATCTTGGGTTTTACGTTTGCGACGTAATCGTAGTCATATACCAATGGAGCCGTGAACTGGACTCGCTCTTCGATGGGATTGACACCTTGTGACTTGAAATTGGTGCTTGGGTCAGCATAAACGCTAACCATGTTGTGGGTGTCTTGCTCGTCTGACTCGTCCATATACTCGTCGCCATTCTGGACTCGCTGAAGTTTTCTTGCTGCCTCCAACTCGCCGTCTTTATAGTTGCCAAATTGGTCCAAAGCAAATGGGAACACTATTACCTGATGGCCTTCCGGCTCGGTGTTGCGCTTCAAGTCCACTATGTGTACACGACCTACGTGCTCCAGAACAACCAACAAATCGTTAACGTTCAAGTTGGAAAACTTGCAGCACCGGAAAGCTCCAGACTGGTGGCCTGGACGAGTCGATCTGATTTCGTGCGTAGGTTCGCCCATATTACGTACGTCGTACACCAAACATGTGCCGTCTTGAAAGGTCACCGAGAAAACTTCTCCCAGTGAGTGGTAGGAGATTCCAAACCCAGAGTCATGGTCGGTGGTTATCTTGTCAACTACCCCATTTCGGACTTTTGGGTCACAAAGAAATACGGATGGTGAGTCACCGGTGACGATAAGCAGATCGTTGGTTGGGGACTGACAAACATTGTTGAGCGAGGTGTTGAGTTCACAATTGATTTTCGAGGTGACGTCGATCCGGTCGCCAGTGATGTCTAGCAGGTACAAGTTGGAGTCGTTATTACAGACGTATGCCTTGTACTGTCCATTTGTATGCTGTTTTACTGTCACAGCGTTGTTAATCATGGCTCCAAGTTTGCCCACTTTGGTGATTTCTGTGTCTGGATGATAAAACGAAAAGAGTCCTTTCAAAGGTCCACTATGTCGATCGAGACTGGTTAGGTTTTCTGCGTAGTAACTTGCATGATGCTGGGATGCCAGAGACATGATCACACCACCAGTCACGGTGGCTCGGTCGTTTGTGTTGAAACATCTTGGACCGTAATCGGAACAAAAGTGCACCCTCGAAGTTGCCTTTTGGCCAAGTTGAAGTTCTCTTATAGTATCTGCTCGAGTGTAGTAAATTGCCCCCGTACTCCGATCGACTTGAAGAAGGTCCCTGAGCTGCCAGTGGTTGACTTTACATTGTACTCCAAGAATATATTGGGGATGAGGATAAAGATAACGGTGAGCATGATAGTAATTTTGAAAGCAGCGGTAATAAGTTGTGGAGGAACGTCTTGGAGCAAGTGACGATCTACGCCGTGGCTCTTCGTGGATATCTATGGTCATTGATGAAATAAGGATACCAATTTCTTAGGTGGTCTTGAAATGATCCG